CCCCAAACCCCCAAAACCCCAAAACCCCAAAACCCCGTTTGGGTCTGAGAGAATTGATGATAATATCAAATAAGTTTAGGCTTATTTTATGGCTATTACAACTAGGATTTCCCATTCTAATGGATCAGAAGTCTCCAGTCCGAATCTTTCATTATACTGTTTCTTATATTCTGTCATGAACTCTTCCATCTGTTCGTCATCAAGATTTTCAAAGAAGTGCTTGGTAGGTGGTGCGTCTGCCATAAATTTGTATAAATCAAGTTGATCCTTCAAGATGAAGTTTATATTAGTATAGTAAGACTTGACAGAAGAGAATCCAGCTTCTCTAAAGTCGTTTTCAAGAGCCTTCCTATCTCCAAGATGTGCAGGATGCTTGTGAGTAGTAATTGGCTTAATTTCATGGCCAAGACTTTGAATTACTTCAGGAACCAAAGTGACATAATTACATTTTTCTATTCTTCCAAGAACTGTGAATCCTGCAACAGCACCTTTTTGCAGAACTCTAAATCATTCAGAAAGTTGATTTTTATGATTATCAACCAGATTCAGAGAAAGACTAGACAGATAGCAATCGAAGACTTCGTCAGAATATGGAAGCTTCTCGTTATTTGCTTTTAAATGAAAAATTCTTCTTTCAATTCCTCTTTCTTCTTTCTCAACATAGTCACTAACGTCAACATCTTTAGCTTCTTCGATCCATTCGTATTTTATTTTTGGATTGAGAGCTAAATCAGAGCTTTTAAAACCTTCAGTAAAACTTTTGTTCATGCCATCAGCCAAGTCACTAGCAAAGTAAGTAGCTCCTTTCTTCATAATTCCAGTGACGAACATTCTTGCTGCAAGTCCTCATCCAACTCCTACCTCTCAGACTCTAAGATAGTCCTTCGCATTTGCGACGCTATAAAGGATGACAGAGCTTTGGATGGCTGTGTTTTCCAGGATAGTTTCATATCTAGTGACAAAGTCTCCCCATTCTTCGTCATTACGATTGCAAATTTTCTTTGTGTCCATTTAATTAATTATGGTTCCCATCTCACGGATGAATATAGGGGTTTTGGGGTTTTGGGGTTTTGGGGTTTTGGGGTTTTGGGGTTTTGGGGTTTTGGGG